ATTCTTGACCTCGTCAAGCTTATTTTGTAAATAGTTGATGTTCAAATGACCTATTTTCAGATTGGATTTGTAGTAACCATTGACGTTCCTAAAAAAACAGTCAACAGAGTCTCCTGAATGTTCCTCTGCAATCTCAAAAACTTCGCCAGTGGAGCTCGAATCGCATGCCGCCGAAGGTGAGAGATCATCAAAGAAGCTGTCAGAAAACTGAGGCATCGTACAAGAAAAGCAATACCCGATACCTTTTCTCCGATAGCAGGACTGCTCGTTCTTGCTCATTTTCGTAAATTTGATGTGGAATACTGCCGGGCAAGACGAGCAGCGGACGCCATTTTGGTTCCTTCTCATGGTTTTAGCACAATAACTACAAAGTGTTTTAGAATAATTATTAAAACTTCCTTGAGGCCCCTGAGGGCCGGGATTAGGGTGAAGGTAACGAATCTGATCCAACCGACGCGTTGGCCAACACGTTGACCAACGCGTCGGCCGACACACCACCGACGATCTGTTCGTCTTTCTCTCGCATTTTTCTCTTGCAGTTTGCTAGGCGTTGTTCTGTCTCGCGAACGAACTCGGCCATTTTCTCCGCGTCTTTCTGCGCCTGCTGAAGCTGTACGTCCTTTTCCTGGTGTTTCATTTCAAGGGCATCGAACGCGGCCTTCAGATCTTGGTAGGCCTTCCCGAGACGCTGGTTCTTCTGCTGTAATTGTCTACAGACAGATTGGTAGTTCGTTACCGGGGTTGAGGCGTTCTGTGGCTGCTGCGGTGGTGGTGGTGTGGTGTTGGCTGTGGCGGACTGCTGTGGCTCCTTTGTTGGTTGTGCTGGCGGTGCACGCTCCTTTCTTCTCCGTGTTGTTTTACGCTTTTTGGGTTGCGGTTGTTGACAATCACAGCGTCGATTGTCGCCATTGCACAAGCCGCAAATAACTAGACAGTGGATTCTTGTATGGTCAGATTCGCCGCAAACAGTACATTTAGTTACACGCTGGGACATTTTAATGATTGGATGATTGATGTATGTAGAGCTGATCTTTTAGCTTTTAATTGAATTTATCACTTTATATACACTGTTTTAAATCAATTAACATAAAAACGGATCAAGTGTTTCATTGGTTAATTAACAAGGTTTGTGATTGGCTACTTTT